CACTGACCTTGAGCCAGACATCCTAGAGAATGAAGTCAAGTGGGCCATAGGAAGCATTGCTAACAACAAAGCTAGTGGAGATGACGGTATTCCAGCTGAGTTATTTAAAATACTAAAAGACAATGCTATGAAAGTGCTGCACTCAATATGCCAGCAAGTTTGGAAAATGCAACAGTGGCCATGGGATTGGAAAAGGTCAGTTTACGTTCCAAAAAGTAACTTTACAACCAGTCCTCGCATTTACGACCTTCACAGTCTGTAAAGCAAAGGAAAGCTGAAGTAAGATCATAAGCACAGTTGCAGTTTCACTTAGCGACAGCTTCGCTTAACAACCAAGTTGCCAGTCCCAATTGTGGTTGCTAAATGAGGACTACCCGTATAGGCTAACTGAATAATTGCTTTACAATCATCTAGGTAAGAAAGTAGAGGATGTCATCTTGGAAATGAAGACACCTGCTTATCTGGCATAGAGGGGGCACAATACATAGACATTGGTTTATCAAAGGCACAGATACCAAGTAAATTTTACATAGGCATCAGCTGGTCAAAGTCATGGATTCCCTGTAAATTAGCCCTTTATGTTACTGTAACAGTGTGACTCTAGTTGTTCTCTAAACATGGAAAAGCCTGAATGAGTTTATTATCTTTATGCCTGAGCCCATCAGCATGAGATACATTTCAAAGCTTCCTTTAGATACAGGGGGGATGTTACACAGTAAAGTATGTGGGTCTTGCTAGTGTTATGAAGATGGCAGTTTGACCTTACTTATGTATGAAGTGAGAAGAATGCTGCATTGCAAAGCAGACAGTTTCATATAGGGTTGCCAACTGCCAAGGCCTTTCATGCAGTTTGCAAAGTTTATTTGGTATATCCTTTAATATTACTTCATTCCATCTTTTACTGAGTACTTTGTGATATACTTTTAAAGCTAGATTGCAAAAGGAAAGATAACCTAGTTTTGGTAAAACACCAAATCTCAATATATATTCAATATATGCTATAAATCTTGGATTTGGCTTGAAATAGCAAGTCCAGGAAGGATTGTTCAAGAGAAAAACAAACGTGGTCTAAGAATGTTATTTTATGCTGGAAATAGTCTAATTAAGGATATTTGATGCTGAAAATAGTCTAATTAAGGATATTCTTCCACAATCGATTTTCCTTTTGTATGGGTACATGAAGTTTGACTATCTTGTCCTTTGTTACTGAAGGATCTTTAAAGTGTTTATCCAGGTCATGCAGCTTGATTGTTTCTTTAATGGAGTAATAAAAGATATAAATCAATAAATGTGAACTGAAGCTGCAACTGTTAGCCACCATCAAATTGAATAATGCCGTGCAAGTTGGAAGGAAGTCCTGTATATCCTCAAGGAATCGATTTTTTTTCTGTCCATGCCTTCCATCACAGAAATGATGGAAAGTATGAGTGAATATTTGGTTCTTATATAACCCTAAGGTATGGTTTGTTTAACTATGGCTTATGTAGGATACCATAGCATGGCAAATTCCAGATGATGATGACAGCAAAGAGACTAGTGGCTGTCTGTGGTAGCCCTAATAGACTGAATAAGCCCCAGTTTGTTCAAAAAGCAAAAAAAAAAAAAAAAGGATGAAGACTTAGCACTGTATATGAACCTAGCTATTATATAAAGGTAGGGTTCAAACAAGTACTTTATCTCAAAAAATTGGGAGGAGAAATTAAATGGTCATGACCTCCACACCACTGGATTTTGGCAAAGTGCACCCAATGTTTCAATGACAATATATGGCCTGCAAATAGAAAATAGATATACCCACTCGTCCATTGAACTGAGCCTCTGTTGTTGTTGTTCAGTCATTAAGTCGTGTCCGACTCTTCGTGACCCCATGAACCATATCGCGCCAGGCCTTCCTGTCCTTCACTGCCTCCCTGAGTTTGCTCAGTTTCATGCTCATTGCTTCAGTGATGCTATCTAACCATCTCATCCTCTGCCGTCCCCTTCTCCTTTTGCCTTCATGAGCCTCTGTTGTTGTTGTTCAGTCATTAAGTCGTGTCCGACTCTTCGTGACCCCATGAACCATATCGCGCCAGGCCTTCCTGTCCTTCACTGCCTCCCTGAGTTTGCTCAGTTTCATGCTCATTGCTTCAGTGATGCTATCTAACCATCTCATCCTCTGCCGTCCCCTTCTCCTTTTGCCTTCATGAGCCTCTGTTGTTGTTGTTCAGTCATTAAGTCGTGTCCGACTCTTCGTGACCCCATGAACCATATCGCGCCAGGCCTTCCTGTCCTTCACTGCCTCCCTGAGTTTGCTCAGTTTCATGCTCATTGCTTCAGTGATGCTATCTAACCATCTCATCCTCTGCCGTCCCCTTCTCCTTTTGCCTTCATGAGCCTCTGTTGTTGTTGTTCAGTCATTAAGTCGTGTCCGACTCTTCGTGACCCCATGAACCATATCGCGCCAGGCCTTCCTGTCCTTCACTGCCTCCCTGAGTTTGCTCAGTTTCATGCTCATTGCTTCAGTGATGCTATCTAACCATCTCATCCTCTGCCGTCCCCTTCTCCTTTTGCCTTCATGAGCCTCTGTTGTTGTTGTTCAGTCATTAAGTCGTGTCCGACTCTTCGTGACCCCATGAACCATATCGCGCCAGGCCTTCCTGTCCTTCACTGCCTCCCTGAGTTTGCTCAGTTTCATGCTCATTGCTTCAGTGATGCTATCTAACCATCTCATCCTCTGCCGTCCCCTTCTCCTTTTGCCTTCAGATTTTGAGCATAACCTTGCTAGCATGTGAAATGAGTGCAATTGTGTGATAGTTTGAGCATTCTTTGGCATTGCCCTTTTTCATCATTGTCATAACAGAACAGTTGCTAAATGTGGACTATTTGTATTCCTTAGAATGTGATGCAACTCCTTAGAATGTGATGTAATCTATATAGAGTTTGTGTTGCCCTGACATTGGGGCTCTTGGCTTTGCTTGCTAAGAGCCTGATTATCTATATATTTCTTTGTTAATAAAGGAAACCAGTTTTGGAATCTCTCTCATTGTTGATTCAGACAACCATTTATGAGCTTAAAAAGGTGTGATATGGACAAGCCTTTGTTGCTGCATGCAGTTGCTTTGTTTGAACCAGACAACAAATCAAGAAATCATTTATTAAAATATAGTTTCCATTTTGCTCAAACTGAGAAACTATGATAAACAATTTCCAAACAAGGAAGGATAAATCAACTTCAAACTTTGGTTTAATATCTTGGCTTTCATCCATTTCCCATATTATAGTTAACTGACAACTTCCTGGTTTGTTTGCCAGCTCATTTAAAGGTGAAGATGTGGGAGTAGCTTTATCTAGCAGCATATGCTTCATATGTCAAGATATAATTACAGCATTTGTATGATGACATCACCATGCATGGGTCATTATTTTGGTGTCATCATCGTTTGCAACAAATACTGCTGTTTCTATATAACTTGGAACTTGGCACAGTATCTATTACCAGAGGAAACCAAAAAGGATGGTGGGATCAAGGAGCAGGTCCTAAAAGTGATGATGCCCTGAGAATATCAGTCTGACCAATTAGAGGCATGCTAGGTAATGTTGAAGAGGAAATCCCCAACTAGCTCTGACTTACATCTATTGCTCTTGGTGGCCATTAGGTTGAGAAGATGCAACCAAAGTACAGACACATCACCATTGTTCCTCCAGATATTTTACAATTAACTGATTATAAAAGAGTAACAAGTAAGTTAATCTTACCACTGGCCTATGGACATCCCAGAAAGCTCTTTCTTGACTATCCAAAATCTTCCTTTCTGTTTTATCCTTTTTTCTGTCAATTCTAAAAGAGAACAAATAAAATAGAACCAAAAGCAGTTTTGGATGTAATCCTGACCTGCATGAGAATTCGTATTATTCTTCATTATGAACTTTTAGCTGAAAACATGTATACAGAGCATCCTGCTATATCAAATCGAATTGTATCCCTCTCTCCACCATACACTCAAGGCTGTATTTGCACCTGCATTAGTCCAAATTTCAACTAACTGCATTATAGAATTGTCCAGTATCCTAGGCTAAAATGTGGTTGGTTAATTTGGCTCAGCATATAGTGTGAATACAGATAGTCCTCATTTAGCAACCACAATTGGGACTGGCAACTTGGTTGTTAAGCGAAGTGGTTGCTAAGTGAAACTACAACTGTGCTTATGGTCTTACTTCAGCTTTACTTTGCTTTACAGACTTGTGAAGGTTGTAAATGTGAGAACTGGTTGCAAAGTTACTTTTTCATCACTGTTGTAACTGCGAACAGTCACTGTATGAGGCAATTGCTAAACAAGGACTACCTGTACAGCCAATGGGCTCTTCAATTTAGGTTTTGCAGAAAACAGCTGTCTGAAATCCTTACACCAAAAAGATAGTGCTCATGACATCCTTCTGTATAACCATCCATCCAACCACCATAAGCCATCTAAGAATCAATTCTTTCCACATACAGCTGGGAGTTTTAAACTATAGCCTGAAATTATTTATTAGTGGTGAATAAGAATACACCAGACTAAATGCAGCCTTGTTTGGAGTGACATGGGGAAATATGGCAATTAAGCTAGGCCTAAATATCCAACCCATATGGTTTTACAGGAACTGCATTATACCTGTGATATCAGTCAAAGGTGGTTATGAACTCAGCTTTTATGCCACCCCTCCCCACAAATGTTGACAACTCCAAGAAGGGAATTACAGAATATGTGATAGCCACAATTGTTAAATCTAAGTACTTAATATTAGGCCCATAAATCTAACAGCTTTAGCAGCAAAAGTTTAACAATGAACATCCACACTTAACCATGTGGTTGACATTGACTAATGCAGCTCATTTAATGTAGCCTGAGGCTTCAAGGATGCCCAGCGGATAGTAGTGGGAAAACATGTCAGAGCAGAAAGGCCATCAAATGAATGAGGTTAGGAATAGAGGAAACATATCACATGTGTGTGTACACAGACATAGAGTATTCCCATGTCACTGCTCAGATATGTATGAACATCATAAAAATGAACTGAATTGTAGACAGCAAGACTCAAATGAAATTTCAAAAGCTTTTCCATGTTAATAAAGTAATCTGTAGCAACATCACTTACTTCTGATTAATTTCCTGTATGACTGAATCAGTGGATTAAGCCATTAAAGGTTTAGTGAAGTAATCAGAAGATTCCAGTTTTAATTGGCAGGACGATATTCAAAGCACAAAATACATACTTTTGGGGTCAGAGAATGGATTTGATTTAATGTCCTATGTGTCTTTCAGTATTTCAACAGTATTTACTTTTTTAAACATTCAGTAATATTTTGCAGACTATTTCAATCTCTCTTCCCTATTTACATTTTGTTTCCAATTCATTTTATTGTTTTGTCATGCATCTTATTTTTAATGAAGGACGTAAGCTGCTTTTCTTCTTTTTTTAATGAAGGATCTTCATTTTTTAATGAAGGATGTAAGCTGCTTTTTCCCTCTACTTTTTTTGAGATAGAAAGGACAAGGCATAAATTATCAATTAAGGAAATAAAGTGTTTTGCTACAACCGTTTGAAAAAGAAGATGATGATTCAGTATAGCTTCAGATAACTCAAATACTCCTACTTGCCCATTTCACATACGATACAGAGAAAATACTTTGCAGGCAGGATGAAGGAAAGGTAATGGCCTAAATCCACCTAATAACCTGGTACCTTTCCAGAGGTGCTGGGATTAGAAAGCCCAGAATTTCTACCTCTGGATGTGCAGTTCCAACACATGTGGAAGACACCAATTTAGGGAAGGCAAATTTAAACTCTGGCAGAATCTTCACACCAGAGCTGCACATTTCTGGTTACTGATGACTTCCACTGAGAGAGGCAGAATTGGCCTGCCAGCTGTGATGCTGAGGGTCTGGGAAGGAAAGGTTAATATGAAAGAAGCATGACATGGTCCAGTTCCACTTTCCACAGTTCCACCCATCTGTGTGCTGCTAAAAAGCCTATTCCTAGTGTGGCTGCTCAGAGAATTACCAGGGAACAGCAGGGTTCTAACCTCATCTGTCATAAACTGTTCACATGGTATATCCTGACATCTGTAAGAAAAGATAGAGGGGAGACCTGTCCCCCAGCCTCCTGGCCAGGCAGGTAGCGTACAGTCTCCTTCCTCCCTGCTGTTTCATAGGGTATTCCATGCCTATTATGTCAACTGATGGATCTAACCCGTTGCATCAAATCTCTTGCTAATGGTGCCATGTAAAATTTAGTATATCCTATTGTGCAGCCATTGGCATCATGAAGGCATGTTGTGCTCAGCCTGGGCTTCTCAGGTCTGGAGCTCAGATTTCTTTCCTCTCTGATATGCCAGCCAAGATGTGGCTGTGTCATCTCAAAGGCTTCTAACCATAAAGGGTTGGAGGGGGTGGCAGGTTATGAATGAGGCTGCTTGGGTGGCAAAGAGATTAACACTCATCTAATATCAATTAACAATGAGTACAAACTACAGAAATATGTTCAGTGGTGGGAGGAGAATTTAACCTTCAGGTATAAGCTTGAGAAAGTATATTTTATCATTATCATGTATTTTGTATCCCCACAGTTTTCAATCATTTGGTTTTTTGTGCTGCAAACACCTACTTGACTTGTGCTTCAGCTTGCATAAAGATGAATTCCCACTTTCTGGCAAAAGCTCTCTGAAGTCTTGCTAAGTTCTCCTAAGGGGAGAGGAAAACAACAACAACAACAACAACAACAACAAAAACAACAACAATAGTAAGGAGAACTAACAGTCAGAAGAATCACCAATAGGAAATCTGGCTATTAGGTAGATCCTATTAAGCTGAAAATGAAAGTGATGGGGAAAATGCCAAGAAGGGAATTTGCACTGAGTACAGGAAAATGAATTAATGGGATACACACCTTGTGTTTGTACATTTGCTGATGTTTTGAACCTTGATATTTTGGAAACAGTTTTGTTCTTGTAGGGTTTGTTTTACACATAGATAACACCTATGATCTTCATTTTGATCTGTATGCCCGTTATATATAAAGAAAATGTCATCTCATACTTCTATGGTCTCATTGATTTAATGGGAGAAATTCAAGTAAGTCCTTACTAACTTTAGTAGGCTTTTAAAGGTACATAATTTTCAACTGATTTGTGCCTAACTCAAAAGTACCAAGCTTTGTACCCATGTAGTACAGTCATTATGTCTACATGCTTTTCTGTAGTGCTCACCATTTTCCTAAACATTAGCTTTCCCATACTTGGTGCCTTTCAGAAGTATTGAGAATTCTGTAAATTGTAGTCCCAAAGCATTTGGAGGGCCCCAGGTTGGAGAAGGCTGCTATGCTGTATGCTGTTGCAATGATCTATGCCATGGCAATACAAATAAACCACAACAATTTAACAGAACCCTCTTATCTAATGTGACATGTTGACTAGTGTGGGTAAAAATAATTGATTCAGGCATCACAATGGGATAGTGAAATATTGAATTTGCCTTCCAAGATACAAATCCATTATATGCAAAGTGTGCAAACTGAATACTTTGAATTATTGGCAAGAAGATTTTAGGCTAGTACAATTGACCTCCCCACAAGAATCCAGAGGCTCAGCAACCCGAAGCAAGACCTTAAGTATTGGAATGTGAAATCCATTGCCTACTGTATAACATGAGTCATACTTTTAAAATGACTCACATAAAGATGCAACGATTTACACCAAAAATGCTAAATAAGAGTTGCATGAGGGCCTGGTCAAAGGAAGCATTCATATTTTATAGGCAAGGGACATGGAGCTAAGAGATATATAATTATCAGTTGAACGTTAGCCATTTTGTTACTTACAATTGTACCTGCTATCACGAAACTAATGGGAGTCTATTTTTTCTTACAAATGTACTGTAATGTAAGTCCCCCTAACAGCAGACCCCCCATTTCTGCCTTAAAAAGGAGACACCATCTCAGACAGAATGGAGTAAAAAATCTAAACACGTGAGAGAAAGAAGCAAAACCAGTTCCATCCAGCCATAAGAACTTTATGGTGTTTTTAAAAGTAGCATTTTCTATTCTTAAATAAAACTGTAGTGAAACTTATATAGCATTCTTCTCTGCACTTACACAGACCAGTATGGATATGGTTCTTCATTATGTGAGTGATCAGTTTGGGGTGGAGGTGGAGAAATGATCTAATTAGTGGATGTTATTTAATGAGTCTGACTCTCAATACTTCCAACAGAACTGAATTTAATGCTACACCTTCTCTGTGGATATACCAAAGTGTGACTGTGGATGCTGAATAAGGCTTTTGTTGATTTGTCAAGAATTTTTATGATTAGCACAATTCACTAGCTGATGGTGTGCAAATAATGATGGTAGAAAGGTATAAGAATAAAAACACTGGGAAAATTACAATGCAGTGTGCAATATTGTCCGTATACCATAGTTGGATGGTTTATAAACAGACAACTGGCAATTCTGTACAGATTGTGGGAAGGAATGTAAATTTAAACCTCTATGCACATCAAGCTGTGCAAGAATCAGTCACCACTACATTTAACAGGCACTAGGTGAGTTAGAGAATGATAGATTTTTCACCAGCCCAAGAGTTATTTTCTATTTTTATAAGTTTCCAGAATCCAGATGGAGATTTTCTCCAAGAAGAGAAAGAAGAAGTGGGTGAAGAATATTAATGCTCAGTGTGGTCTTCCTCTTTTTAGGCTCTTAAATTATAGGCACATGAAAACAGAAGAATCTTGGTGATTTCAGTTCTAAATGTTGACGTACTGCTTAGAAGACCCCCAGATAATTTGGAAATCATGAAGGAAGACTGCCCTGAGACCTTTGGGCCAGCTGTTGGAATGCCTATACTGGTGCATACAATGTGAGGACTGCCTGGCTGCTATAACCATTTTGCATAGCCTTTTGCTATCAAAATTGCTTAGATTCACTGAAGTCTGATGTAGTGACTCCAATGTCTGGCCATGTTATCTGGGACTCCTTTTGGTCTGTTGACTCTGATGAAATGGATAGGGAAGTCTCTGGCATGACCCCTGCCACCTGTGGATTAGACCCATGCCTCTTCTGATTGGGACTGAAGGGTGCATGTCAGGCTGAGTTCATGAAGCTGTCAGTGCCTTGCATCAGGAGAAGGTGATATCTGAAGTCTTGAAGAAGCTGTAGACCCCCCATCCTTAACAGCCCCTCCATGGATCTGATTGTTTTTGACAATAATTAACTCAGTATCCAACCTCCCCTTTAGGAATTCAGCTCTGGAGTCCTCTAGTAGAAGCGGATTATTATTATCTCTTTCAGACAGGGTTTAGGCCTAGACATGAGATCTAAGACAGCATTGATTAATTACTTTTTTCAGGACATGAATGGCATAGTATACCCCTCTTGATCCTTTTGCCAGTTTGTCATACCTTGAACCATGGTATTCTTCTGGAATGGCTGTGAGGGCTGGGAACTGGAGGCACTCTTTTACTGCCTTTCCTTCTTACTTAGTAGGCAGCTCCAGTAGGTGGTTGTGGGGGAGGAGAATTCAGCCCCATGGTGATTCCCTTGTCCAGTGCCACAGTGTTCTCAGTCTTGCTTTTAAAAATTTATATGAAGCTTTTTTAACATCATCCACCAGTTTGGGGTGGCTATCATCCATATGCAGATGATGTTCAGCTATTTATCGCCATCCCAGGCCCTGCCAGAGATGCTGTTAAGGTTGTGTCCTAATTCCTGGAGGCTGTGGATGCAGGATAGGATAAAGCAGAATAAAGTTGATCCTAAGCAAGACAGAATTGCTATTTGTTTATCACTGTTCTCTGTCACCTCTGGTGTGGAGGTGGAAGTACTATCCTTGAAGGAGCAGGTCCATGATGGGACTCCTCCAGGACTGACAGCTACCACTGGATGGATGGGTGGACATCATGGCCAAGAGGACCTTTGCCTAGCTTCAGCAGGTGCACCATTTGCATCCCTACTTGGAGCAGAAGGATCTTGCTACAGTGATTATTGTATCCCATATACATTACAACTGAATTCAGTGATGCATTTCTCAATACTCCACTGGATGATTACAATTTACTCTATGCTGGGTTTCCTTTGAAGACCTTTCAGAAACTGCAAGTAGTTCAGGGGCAGCAGCCCACTTACTGGTTCATGCTCATCAGCATAAGCTTATTTTACAGGTCCTGCTTTAGCTGCTAATAGGTTTCTGGGTGCAATTTAAAGTGCAGGTTTTAACCTTTAAAACTTATTGATGGCCACATAGGTACATGCAGGACTGCCTTTTCCAACCAGAATATATCCATCCAATAAGGTTATCCCAAGAGAAATTGTGAGTGGTGCCCCATTTTCTTGATGTGATGGGGTTGAGCCCGGAGAAATTATTTCTTGATAATGGCTTTTGTACTTTGGAACAGCCTCCTTTTGGAACCTAGATTAGCCCCCTCTGAGGTGGTCTTCTGGAAATTAGTTAAAATAGAGCTTTTCTGTAGGGTGTTTGGGGATTAATGGATATTGCCATCTGTGTTGTTGGTTGTTCTCCATTTTAATCTGTTTACATTTAAAAGGATGTTCAGAGCTGTCTTAAGTACAGATTACTTGGAAGCAAACAAGTATTGAGGTCAGGGATTGAATTGGAGGGGGGATGCAGTGATGGTGTTGAGTCCAAACATCACTCCAGGCCTAGAGGCACTGAATCTGATTCAGCAGTTACTACACTATTTGGCAATAGAGCAAGACTATCTCAGCCTTCCCCAAACTGGTGTCCTGCAACACCCATCCTTCCTACCTAGTGAGATCTGTGGTCTAACTCATCTGGAAGATACCAAATTGGGCAATTACCTTTTGCCACGACAAACCACATGTTACTTGTATTCGCCACTATAGGAATAACACATCCTATACTACTGTTATGTGGAAATATTTGAAGAATGAATATCTTAAAAGAAGTGTCAGTGCAATTAGTAACTATATTTTGAATCTATTTAATAACCTGAATGTGCTGAGTGGGCTTATACACTACTATATAATTGTATAATGAATATATATTTAATATAATATTATATATTTATATATAATTAATATAATCAGGGCCGGCTTTAGGCTAAGGTCAAGTAGGCACTGGCCTAGTGCACCAAAGCATAGGGGCCACTAATGCTGCCCCTCTTTTGCATTGGCAGAAGTGGCATTGTCTGCCAATGAAGTCTACAGTCACCATATACCTTTGAGTCAGCACTTAATCTAATAGTACAATTATACTTCATGAAAATTATATTACATTAACACACATACATTTTCATATAACGCAAGGTGGGGAGAATGGACACTTAGGAGTTTCTATCATTTTAGCAAGCAGCAACTGAATAGTTTTATTTTTAAAAAGATTTTTAAGTAGCATTATAAAATATAGCATTGTACTCTGATAATGCTATAATCCTTTCAAGCAGTACTATAGGACTACTTACTCCAATAAAGGAATTTAAAATCATTTAGTGCACATTATCTTCTCCAGACCTTGTGGAAAATCTTGGAGGAACCAGAGGAAGCATCCTGAGTGCCTTAAGAAACTACTCAGTGACAATTGTTTATAGGTAAATAAGAGTGCTGTTTTTTCTTGAGTAGCCCCCATTTGTAAAGGGGAATGAAGCAGAATGAGCACAAATTAAGGAGGGTCAAGTTCCACTAAAATCTTGGCTCTTAAAAAAATATTTGGGGCTGTAAAAAGCCATGGCACTTACTTGCAGCATTGCTGAATAATAGAGAAACCCAAGTTCAAGTCCATGTTCAACCACAGAACTCACTGACTGATTTTGAGTCTGTCTGTCTGTCTCTCTCTCTCTCTCTCTGCCCAACCTTCCATAAAGGATTGTTGTTGCAGGAATAAAATTAGGGGTAGGCTTCCATGTAAGCTTCCTTAAGCTCCCTGGGGAAAGGCATAATGTAGATAAACCAAATGTTTGCTCCCCATGAACCTAAGTCAAAAGGAAAACATGTTTCTTTCTGATTTTGCTCCTACCCTAAGCATATTTTCTGAGAAATTATAATCTAATATCAGTCCTGATAGACAGTGATGCTGCCCATATAATTTAATATAAGATGACATTCAATTTTGAGGATATCACACTTTGGAACTGTAAAATCAGTATACCCACTGCTTCATAATCTGCCAGTTCCAGTCTAGCTTTATTCTGCATGGTCCTCTTGCAAAGATAGATGGCTACAGAGAGAAACAAACAACAGCAAAATACACCATTAAAGGTATGCGAAGGAGAAGAAGGAGAAGGATAAGGGGAAGGGGAGGGGGAGGAGGAAGAAGGAAGAAGGAATCAAGTAACTCCTTCTGAAGTGGCTGTTTCTACTAGGACAATGGCATTCTTACATATAGATGCAACATTGTGAAAATTGTACATTTCTTTAATTGAAGAGACTACTTTAGGTTTGATTAACAAAATTAAATTTTGTTTAACGTGATATATTCATAATACAGATAGTCCTCAGTTAACGATGGTAATTGGGACTGGAAACAATGTGGTTGTAAAGCATGATGTCACGTGACTACATTGCTTAGCAATGGCAATCCCAGCAGTCCCTGTTGCCATTATTAAATGAGAATCGCGGGTTGCTAAGCAAGGACCTCCTGCCAGCTTCCCACAAGCAAAGTCATTGGGGAAGCTGGCAGGAAGTTGCGAGTCCTGGGCGGTTTGCAAGTAAATGGTACAAGTGCAGCCGGGCTAGGGGTGGTTGCTGCTGGGGGCAGTAGGGCACCCTACATCCACTGCCCCTGCTGCCCCCAGTTGACCTTCACTGTTTTCTTCCTCCTGCTGCTGATGAGGCATACCTGGCCTGGCCCTTCTTGAAGCTGCAGCTGCCCTAGCCCGGCCCAGCACTGAGGCACAAAGCCGCAGCTGTCCCAGCCCAGGCCAGCGCTGTGGCATGAAGCCCCAGCCACCCCAGCTGCAGCTGCCCTCACCACCCTGAACTTCACGGCCCCTGCCGCCCTGCACTCCACCACCCCCAACCGACCTTTGCCATCTTCTTTCTCCCGCTACTGGTGAGGCACACCCAACCTGGCCCTTCATGAGGCAACTGATGGCCGCATGATGCCTTCTTCCCAAGATCTTATGATGAAACTTCATGAGGCCTCAGGAAGGCCAGGTGTGACCTTGAGAAGAAGGCCTCATGTGGCCACCAGCTGCCTCATGAAGGGCCAGGTTGGGTGTGCCTCACCAGTAGCGGGAGAAAGAAGATGGTAAAGGTCAGCTCGGAGTAGCAGAGTGAGTCTCGATCTGCAGGGGGCCAAAAGGGCGGAGATGGGGGGGGAGATAGGTGGGGGTTGTTGAAGCACACCCTGTGGTCCTAAATGCAGGTGGGCTGCCAAGCGCTCGGATTTTGATCACAAGACCATAGGGGTCCTCCAACGGCCATAACTTCATGAATCAGGTGTAAATACCATTTGTTCAGTGCTGTTGTAACTTTGAACAGTTGCTGAACAAATGGTCATTAATTGAGGACTACCTGTACAACATTTCCAAGAGCACAACTGGAGGATCACATGCAAAGTGTTAATTTCCAGAACTGCAAAAATAATTTAACAAGTAGCCAAACCTGTTGGAACCCATGAAGCTATTATTTCAAATATTTGTCAAAAAAAGTTGCTGTGGTTGGAGAGGTCTTACTTGTAATGCTTTTGATTGCAATTATTCAAGTTATTTGTTTGTTTGTTTATGGCCATAGCCACTATGGGCAGTGAACAAAGTTTAAACAGAAACCACAGCATAAAATCTTAAAACATACCATGCTAAACATATAATTCAAAACAATGACAGCAGCCAAGAGTAAAAAAAAATTATAATATAATACAATACAATACAATACAATACAATACAATACAATACAATACAATATAATAAAATATAATATAATATAATATAATAATATCAACCTAACAGGGCTTCACTAACTTCATGAACCTCATGCCTGGGCAAGTAACCAGGTTTTCAATACTTTCTAGAAGGCCTGAAGGATCAGATGATAAGGTGTTCCTGTCAGGCCCAGCCTAAGAATGACAGAGAAACAGTCCAGCCAAGTTCAGTTCTTTTATCACTTACCTCATATAGACAGAAGCTTGCCAGACTAAATCTGTATTACTCTAACCTAGTGGATATACTCTAGGAGATTCTAGGGAGTGGCTATCCTAAATCTCTTCCTCTTCCCATGAGCCGTGTTGTCTCTTGTCTCGCCCCCCCCCCTTCCTGGAATGTGCTCCCTCCTTCCTGGAGAATATCTATATAGTCGCCAAGAGTCGACACCAACTTGGTAGCATATAATTATCATTACTACTATTACTATTTATAATATTTATAACTCTTTTTCCCACCCATAAGGCAATTGGCTAACAATGATTTAAAAAGTACTTTATTGTATTAAAACCTGCAACAATAATGTTACATAAGAGAAAAAGATGTGTTATGTTGGTGAGCAAGAGACAGAATATGGCATTGTGAGGCAATAGGAAGATGAAATACAATAGAAATAATAATTGCATGATTTAACCAAAGCTATATATTTTGGTTGCAGTTCTACACTTACCTAAAAGTAACGTATGAAAACAGATGAAACTTGCTCTCAGTAGGCATGTACAGGATCGAATTGTTAGAACTTTCACTAAAGTTTCAATGTGTGTCAAGCACAAGCTTATAAATGCCTTGCTTGGATTTAGAATTTATTTTATTTTTATTTTATTTTATTTTATTTTATTTAGGATTTAGAAGTGCTTGATGAACTGTACTACACGCAGCACTGAGGCTTTTATTGCTTTTCTCAGCATGATGAAAGCAAAGTTGCAGCACTGTGCTGCAAGCCCTGCCCCTTTGGGGCATGTGTGCAATGTTACAGTGCACGTAGAAAAGGCGTGGGACATGCATTGCAGAGCCACAGGACTGCTTGTGTCACACTGCCCATACCCTTGCTGACTAGGCAATAAACAATTTAAAAATTGCATTTTTCATGAGAGACAGATTTGTATTCCCATTTTTTATTTACAAAGTCAACTGAATTATGAATGTGTCCAAGATTATAAGGCACTCCCTTTATATTCCTGCTACTGTTATAGTACTTTAATTCTATAACTGACCACAATCCCCTCTACTATATATATTGTGGTGAAAATGTGAACCTGTCTATATGTTTGTGTAGTAATAGAAAGTTTTGGTCAGCCTGTAGAAGAAACACTTCCAGAAGCTCTCATATTATGAATACAGATACATTCATTTCCTTTACCAAGGTCCAGGCTGAATGGAAAAATTGATTTTATCATTTCTGCATGAGGGGAGAGCTGTAGAAGAGATACCAATAATGCACAGAGACAGATAAAGATAACCATGCTAACATATTACCTTTATGCCTTAGTACTCAGTCCTTCAGCACTTAATTCAAAACACTATGGTTTATTAGCTCATAAACCATGGCTATTTCTTTCCTGAAGCCAGACATCAGCCTAACAAAAAAGCCTACCACCCCTTCTACCACCTCTCTTTTTCTTCCTCCTTCTGTCTCAGTGAAGCTCCATTTTCATTTACTACTATAATGGAGATTGCTACTTTGGGTCTGATAATAATTTATTGATCAGCCACATGTATATTACCATTTATTTTAAAACAAACTAAATTCATCCACAGAACTGAACCTAACCTTTCCTTAGAGGTAAGATTAATGTTGTTAAACAGCAATAACATTGGACAATGTTTCCTCTATTGAATTATGTAGTCCTTATCTATAAGGAGGGACTGCATTCAGGCCAACTGTTTTAAATGAACAGAACAGGGTCTCAATCAACTTCTGTGTTAAATGCTGTGTTTACGGAACTGTCCTAGGCAGTACTGCTCTACTCAAATAACTGTGCCATTCATCTGAGGACATTTTCACAGACCAATGAAAATTACTAAACTGTTTCAATGCAATTCAGAATAAAATGAAAATAAAATGAGAACCTAGTCCTCAGGCCTTGGCCACCAAGGATGGCCAAACATTTGTTGGTCAGGAGTTGCAATTAAGACTTTTTAGGAGCCAAGGACCCCAATAAGAGGGCTGATGATGATACAAAAAGGGCTCCAGGACACACAAATGAATTAATTTAATGACCACATGCAACCCCGCAGCCTAAGGTTGTCTCTTCCTACCCTGGTTCATATCCCCATTTGAACTGAAATGCTCAGTGTACTTCTCTACACAGGTAGTCCTCATTTAGCAACCACAATTGGGACTGGCAACTTGGTCGTTAAGTGAAGTAGTCACTAAGTGAAACCACGATGGTGCTTATGATCTTACTTCAGCTTTCCTTTACTTTACAGACCTAAAGTAGAATCATTGTATAAAATAAGTAGAATCATTGTATAAAAAGTTGATGCAGCTAAATTGTTTTAAATGAAAGAACACACTACCAGCTGAAAGTGCAAACTTGAGAATTTATCCAATGATAAATATGTGTTTGGTTTAGACCATACATGTAGCACATATACATGGGAGGTCTGGGTGAAGTGGTGGATCTTTCATATGAGCTATTGTCAAAGGCCTTCAAGAATTTCAGAAGGGACAGCATTTCAGAATGAAGGTACCACCATTGAGGAGGCCTCTCAGCAAATAATGACAAAATGGTATTCTGGGTTTTCTGAAGTTGCACACAGGAGAACTTCCTCAGGCAATTTTGCCAAAGTGACTCTGGGCAGTGCACAGAGAGTTAACCCACCCCCCACCCCACCCCCATAACACAATTTACAAAACTAAACATCCAGAGATAACAATTATCCCTGTCTAGCTAATGAGCATCTGTCAGATATTCTGGCCCCCAGTTGTTTAGGGCCTTATATATCAAGAATCAAACAAACAGGTTCAGTAGCTAATTGGCAATCAATGTAGTTACTTCCACAACAATATAAAATGCACTTTGCCCCCAAAAGAGGAGCTTTTGACTGGGTAGTAGTGAACAAAATCTCTGGATGCAAGAAGGGTTTCTTCACAGATGGGCAGACCACTTAAAATCTGCAGATACTATTTCATCATGCAAAAATTATGTTTACCAGCCTTTGTAAACATCCAGTAAATCCCCTTTGCTAGCTTGAGTAAGCCAAGGTGGATAGGAGTCCAGAGAGCATATGATAGACTAAATGGCCACAAGTGTCTTGTTCTTTTTCTTAGGCCTCATAAACTGAAAATGATCTTATACAATTAGGTGGTGGTGCAGTGCATGTCATATCAAAAGCAGCATTCAAATCAGCATCAAGTTGTCACTTTTATCCTTGAAGGGCTTTGCAAATTTGCAGGTTACCTTTCCCATCCATGAAGTCTTGGTGAATTGATCTAGCATTTGCATTAAGATCAGGAGGCAGGGTGCTTGCCTCCAGGCCACCAGGCATTTGAAGGGGGGAAATAGAAACTGAAGGGGTGATGATTTGCAGCCATCTGGATTTTATCCCCAATGTCTTCTCCTTCTCCCCTGCATCTCCAATCTATGGACATCCCTCACTCTCTACAGATATTTTAACACTCCAAGAAGCAGGGGAATATAACTGAAATTCCACAGAGAGCTGTGAAAATCACTGATCCAGCCCATACACCACCATTATAGAAACATATTTAAATGCTTAAGACAGAATTCCAGCTTTCACTCTAAGCCACTGTTCTCTAATTCAGCTCTCACCAGTCAAGGGTGACTCATGACTGTTTTCACACTCCAGGATTCTCAGTCTGGACCCCTTCTCCTAGAACCTGACCCTTACAATTCCCCAAAGAGGCAAACCCCTTAAGTGAAGCCCTCCCAGCCAGTCAGTCAGTAGCTGGATGGCAAATACTTCCAGGGCAGCTCTCAACTCAAGTCGAGCAGATAATGAGGCTTCCTCTCCTTCGAGCCAAGCAGGTTGTTGTTTAAAGATGGAGGGACAGGGAGTGGATTGCAAGTTCACAGAAAATATTTTTATATGTTCTGTTAGGGTACTCTGCTTGTATAATTCCTGCTCATTATTTGTACAAATGCTGGCAACCACTGACTTTCTTTCATATTGTGAAACCAAATATAGTAGCATTCCCCAACATGTAATCCTCCAGATGTGTTGGTATTACAACTTCTTGGATTCTCAGTCAGCATGGTCTAGTTTCTTTTAGACTAATCTAACTATTGGAGACACATTTACAAGTGGCATTTCAAAAGATGCACTAAAGAGTCTCACCATAGTCCGTGTTTTCTGGTTCCCAACAATTTGAAGGCCAGAAGTATGGAGCCTGAAAAACAGTAAATAATACTTTATCATGAAGATGTAAGTATTCAAATATCTAAAGTCCTTCAGACTTTAGTAGCTTAAGCCTCAATGAAATAAGCAAACTCTACTTAATTATTTTAAGGCATAAGTTTTGAAATGCAGAAACTCAACATAATTCTGTATAGGTGTGATTGCACACAACACCAGAGAACAGCAGACCATAGCAAAATACCCCATTTGTTAGGATCAGTATGACTGCATTCCTATGCATATGGTCCAACTTATATATCACAACAAATTTTAACAGATCTTCCACCAGCTGAAATGCAAATTAGAAAAGGGCAGTCTTGAGAAGAAGCGTTATCATTTAACCTTCTATGATGAAGTAGGAAGCCCATCACAGAACAGGAAAGAAGCAGCTAGCCTTTGTTTGATTATCTTTCACATTTCCTGATTTCCTATGTGCTAGTTTTTTCACAAGCAATAATAAAACTTTGAAGAAATTTTGTTACTTCATTCATTTGCTAGAGCAAGAAGGGCAAATAAATTACCATGGTGCTCCATGGCTTCTCTGAAAAAGATCCTAGAACTGCATTTCCCAGTCTTTCCCTTCTATTTCACTAGTGACAAGAACTATTAATGTAAATAACATCATCATCAAAATGACCTTTTCATCCATTGTTAGCTGATATATGAACTCCTGATATAGAGAAAATTGATATAAGATCAGAATGTTGCTCTCTATGTCACTGTATTTTTTGAAAAAAGGCTGCCATGGTTCTTCTGAAAAGATACTCTGAATTTATTAGAATGCTGAAATATTAATATTCCTTGGTACTATATCACCTTTACTGCCCCCATATTTAATCATGCTGGGAAGGGAGGGAGGGGTATGCAGCAATAACTGGAAAAAATGACATTGTCTTGGTTAAGAAAAGAGAACAAACAGGACAACCAGAAATCCAAATGACCATTAGATGGCAGAAATAGACTTGAGATATTCTGTGTCTCTTTGCTGTCATCTAGTGGTTGGCATCCCTAGAAAAGAAGATGGCTACCTTCTGTTACTAAAGACAGAAGCATAAGCTTGCCAAAACTCAAAGAAGCAGCTATTTACAGGCAACCCTGGCAAAATTATGCCCACTGGGTTATGAAGAACTGAAAGTGACTGAATGACTCAATAAAAAACAAAAATGGATTGATATTGATCTGGTAATTACAGCAAAGTTGGCAAGCAGTCTTTTGCCACACTGAATTTTGGAGTTGCCAGATGTTAGATAAAAAGAGTAGGAAAAGGAATTAAGCCTGGTTTGGGATATAAGAAAACAAGCAGTAATTAGCAATGATAAGACATATACTTGTCTTTTGAGAAAGTCTGAAGTTCAATTCTCAGCATCTCCAATAAAAAAAAAAATTCTGTTAGGATCAAAAAAGTACATTATCAGAACTATCATGATGATATCCAAAAAATCACAACATATACAAAGATCTTACTTTCTGGACCAAAATGGATCAGTTACATTAAAAGGCAAACAGCTCTATGGCGATGTTGAACAACTGGAGAAGTTCAGCCAAAAGTTAGGAGAAGATGGGTATACAATAGGGTGGCTTTATTCTAGGTTTGTTCCTCCGTAAAAGATGGAAGTTGGAGGACTTCTGCAAGGAAAGATATAACTGGCCATTCTGTAATTCAAGTAATGAAAACAGATTCCTTACCTGAAAACGATAAAAAGTCCCATCATCCTTTAAAGTTAGTACGTGATCTGAGATTGGAAAAATATATCCCTGTGCTGCAATGAGGCTTCCCAGATGTATTGATTCAGCTATAAAAAAATTCAACACGAACCCTGTCAGACAATTATGCCTTTCTGTAGTCAACTTCCAAAGCTTGGGTAGCAGGAATTTTCTGAGTAAATATGATGATATCATTGGTAAACTTGGAAAAATGGAAGTGTCACCTCTTTATTCAGCTTTGAGCCCAGTGTTGGGGTTGGATTAACAATTAATCATCACAGGTATATCTAGTTATTTACTTACTTAAATAACATGTGGGCCACCCATAACTGATTCCAGGCTGTCAAACAAAAGGGAATAAATATCTGAACAATACAATTCTAATGGAAAGGCCCTTATACCAGAAATAAAAAGTGGAGCAATGCTGTAGTTAAAAAGGTGAAATCTGGCTATTTCTGCAAAGAAGGAAAATAACAATTTCTGTCTAAAGGTTATTATAATGTCCACATGGCTGGACACACAAAAGACTGCTTATGAAGCCAAATGACTCCATTTGTTGCAAGTGAACGAGACAAACCAAAATCTGGTCCTTCTGGAAACTGACTAGAGTCTAGGCACTCAGGCCCTTAATTCTGCAATCCAGCTGAGATCTCACATGCACATTTATCATTTTTGGAAGTGTTCCTCTGGAATACAAATTGAGAGATTTCTCATGGCAGTGAGATATCCATTTATATATCCATATATAAAAAAACTGACAAATCTTCCTTTTGGAAACAGTGCAAGGAAGGAGGCAGGAAGATATCATAAAACAGACTTATGCATATCCCTCTACTTTTCTTCTGTAGGTCAGGAAAGGGAGGCCCTGCATGAACC